CACTGATAGTATTAATAACCTGATTATAAACAAAAAATAAATGATTTAGTTAATTGCCTTAGCGGCTTGATCGAAAAATCCAATACAGAGTGTGATATTAGGAAAGTTCTGGTCTTTCTTTAAATTCACATCTATCCTGTGACTCAAGGGTCCTCGTGGTAGTGTGGCGCAGAGGGTACTTCTGTCTGGATGATAATGTATTTCGGGAAGCAAGGCTACATGAAATTTAATAGAAATGTTGGAGCTACTCATTAGATTTTGGGAAAATTTAACATACATTATTTCGTCATCCTAAATGAAATAGGTCAAATAAAGCTCACTACGTCTTGAAAACCTAATTATAAGGAAAAATATACCCTTTTATTAATCTACAATCCCACTTTAAATGTGTTATAAAGGAGGCTCGACCTCTGAAATTCACATTTGTTTTGTGACCCAAAGGGACTCGTAACCATCTGCCGTAGGCTATACTGTACGATCTAAATCTCGAGTCCTGCAGGAGGTACTGATCAGGCTAGTTCATGCTGGATCAAAACCTCTTTCTAGTTCGTCTGGAATGAGAATATCTTTATGGAAGAAAGGCTAAGTGAAATTCACTGAAAATATGAGGTCTGTAGAAAAATGTAACCATCAATCCTTCCATAAATTGAACTCTTGTGTTGAGTCTTTGTTTGTCTTGACCTATTGCTAGTCAGGTGCTTACATAACACAAGTTCATGACGGATTAAGGCTCAACACATTTTCGTTGGAATCAAAGAATACTTTCTCGACAACTATGCTGGCATGAGTGTCTCGGTAAACAACAAACTATATGAATCCTGAAGGTATACACCATCCTCGACCAACTACTCTTTCTTCATGATGCACACTTTTGAAGGGAAAAAAGTTGGCTTGATCAAAAGACAAAGAAGCAACTTTGACTTGCCCGAAGTAAGTAGTTGCTGTGAGGTCTGGTTAACTTTTCCATACGCCTGTGATACAATGAGAGTTACTTGAAGTTCATCCTCGACAGTGTCGTCAAGATCGGCCACATACAACAACCATCACAGGCTCTAGCAAAAACTAAAACAACATCCTCTAGCCGTCATCTTGACGGCTACCGAAGCATTTGAATAAGTTGTTCATCGTGAACTTGGGATGAAAGAGGACAAAGACAATGGGATTTGTGAGGCCTGACGTCTTGGCGAACAGGGCACAAGTGCTGATAAAATAGGGCAACAGAACAGTCTTGGCGTTGAGTTTGCCAAGAAAGCCGAGCACCACGACTCCGGCATATGGGCCCCAGCTGATGACGAACGAGAGCAGCATGGCGGCCGTCATCAGAGCGATCCGGCGCTCGAAGCTGCGAACTCGGTCGGACAGCGCCTTGCCCCCATTCGGACAGTCTTTATCGTTACCACATGCAGCAGAGTCTTGTTGAGAAAGATGAGGTGCGTTGGGGTTGAGACAAAATATGTAAGTTGAGGATGCAAATTTATTTGCTACTTCGGGACAATCAGTAAATTTTAATTTAAGCTCTTTTGTCATTCTGGGTCTCATGATGCAATTGAATTATACTAAGTCTTTATTTCTTTAACTCGGCTAAACTGGGCTTCGGTTTCAGTCACGATTAGGCCTCAGTGACACTCCATGAGGGAAACCAACTCAAGTCTCGATAGTGAAGCATGGAATTTCAAGATCTCGAAACCTTAATTAATTCGAGTAGTCAGTAACGTGTTTGCTTTGACAGCAATTTCAACATTTATTTTCAACATTCACCTGAGTTCGAGTCCTGCTATGGGGGTGTTTAGGCCCAGGCGAGGTCCATCCTAGAGTCCAGTTCAGCTGGGATGAGGATACCATTTGGAAGCAAGGCTAAGTGGAGTATAATTGGATTGTGGGGCCCATTATTACCATTATGGGAAAATTAACGCACAGAAGACATGTAAACGTAGTAACCAAATGCAAAACTGAAATAAAAGGTCGAAAGCAATTTCGACCTTGTAAAATTAAATGCAAAGCAAAAGAAAAAAGTGCTTAAAGGAATAGAATAATAGCTCAAAGCTATCATTAATTAAAATTTAAATTGTTGTAGGGTTATTCTACTGAAAAAAGATTACAAGACTTAAAGTAATGCGATATAAATATGATATTATTAGTAAAATAAAATCTACTACTAATAAAATAATAATAGTAAAAGTAATCACAGAATAATCCTCGTAAACATTAATGAACCTTCTGAGATATGAAGAGAAATCGGAAATTTCTGAACCTGTTGTCACTACAGGACACAAGAAAGATTGGTTTAGATCCCAACGTTTTACCGGAAATGGGAACTTCGCAGCTAAGTGGAAGATAAGAGAGTTGATTGAAATTAACAAAACAAAGAACATCCTGAATAAAAGGAATAAGTGTAGGAAACTTAGTAAGAACTAGCTTTGGTTACTGAATAGAATTGGAGAGAGAGAGAGAGAGAAGGAAAGGGAACAGGAAGAGTCAATGTGTAAGAGAAGACTTCACTAAGCTGGAGTCTGGTTTCGGACCTAACATTTCTAAGCAATTCGTGAGTGTGGCATACACACAATGCACACAAGGCTAAAACCAGCCCCAGGATTACAATATTATACGCTATTTTATGTACATACTCAAAAGTCGTGACCACATTCGCTCCACTTCCTGCATCAATTTGACCCGCTTACACACATGCAAGACAAGCTGGCCAAGATTAATCCTAATAAATAATTGTCTTAGGGAGATCAACAAGAATAATGACCAGGAGTCTTCTTTGTCTAATTTTATAGTTTTCTCAATCTTTCAACTTGCCCGGTGGCTGCAGGATTGGTTGGCGACTCTGTGACCCCGACACGAGAGCAAGTTGAGGAGAAGTGTCAATCCGAAAACCTCTCTCAACAGGTAGTTTGTATGGCCTGAGGCATTTATACCGTTTCAAAGTGGAGTATTTGATGTATTCATCGAAATAATAGTATAAGTAGGAAGTACACTTCAAACAGTAGATTTCATAGAAACTGAGAATAGTATGAATTATCAAAAAATTTTCATTTATATGTAGGCTTTCGAGACTACCAGTAGACCAAATATATGAGATGTATTCATTATGTTTCGTTTAGGGCGATTAGGTGACTGATATCTGAATTCTCCTACGTTTTCATTGAAGTTCACATAGCCTTGACCCCCAAAAAGGTATCCACATCCAGGCAGGAGTGGATAGCAGCTTCGACCCTAATCAGCACACCCAGCGGGACTCGAACCCGGGCTATAGTACTAGAGCGTATAAATCAGAAACTTTAACCACTAAGCAACATTGATATGAATGCCCTTTAGTCATAGTGAAAGTATAAATTTTGGAAAGTCATGGAATTGTCCAATATCACAGTATGTGGTGGTCTACTGATACAATACAACTTATGTGAAAAATTCAACCTGGTTTCAGCGGAAATCTCAGCATAGAATATGTTACTGAAAAATTTCTGGCTTTTCTTGAAATTCACATCTGCCTGATGATCCAAGAGAACTTGTGGAAACGTGGCGTAATGTTTGACCTGTCGATATTATACGTTGCACTGTCAGGATTCGAGTCTCGCTGGAGGTGTTGATAAGACCTAGGCGAGGTCGAATCTTCAGTCCACTCATGCCTGGATAAGAATAGCTTTTATGAAATCAATTTTATGTGGAATTCAATGGAAACATAATGTCTATTCATATGATTTTGAGAAAGTTCTACCATCAGTCCCTTTATGACATCAAAAAATCAGAAAATACCATGTCACTTGTTCGCTTCCCACGATCAGCCTTAAAAAAATTCAGAATGCATAATTTAGGCTGGACAGTATGAAAGTAATGCTCAGTAAAAAGAGTCACTCACCTGTTGGGATAGCAATCATAGGTTTCCTTTGCTTTTTATGACCAGAACGAGCACTAGCATCTTTGCCATGTAGCACCTCATTGACCTCTTTTGTGTGCCGCACCACCGTCAAGTAAATGAGAAGGTAGCTACCGATTCCGATGGTGATAGGTATGATGAAGTGGACTATCAGGACCGTGATTGCGTAAAACTTCGTCTTGAGTACACGGATCCAGTCATCTGGATAGTTGGAGGCATCCATTTGGAGCATATCGAAAGAGCAGGATACTCCAATGCCTTCGAGGACGTACGGTGCCACACCTTGAGGGTAGAGATAAGTGATACGATTTGAGTAAATCCCTGAGGCATGACTGAAATTCTATTCTAACATCATAAAGGTCGTCGTTTTTATGACACAATAAACTGCTGCCAATACGATTGTTCTTTGAATGTGACCCATTCCACGA